TCCTCGGTTTGAAATGAGGCCGACTGCTGGGTTAATCGGTGAGTGTGGTTACATACATTACAGATTAGGAGCCTTAAAGATAAAGAAAATCATCGGCATTTATCTACAAGGCTATTTTGGCAGAAAAATCTGAAAAAAAAAAGAACCGCGAAGCACTGATTTTTTGAGAAATATTTAAGCGGTTTCAACATATTAGCACATCTTTTGGTAAACTGTCAGCGCAACATATATGACATTTTCTAGCGAACTCAGTATTTTTCTAGAATATTTCCAGGATACAAAGTAGGTGGTAGAAAGCTCTATTTCAGAACAAAAACTATATCCATGATTTCAGTGATTGGTGACGAAATCCTGAAGGGTTCCACCATGGATACGAATTCGCACTTCATTTGCATGAAACTACATGAACTGGGTGTACAGGTGAAAAAGGTAAGAGTACACTGCGTATGAAGGTTAGTGCCTCACGAAAGCGGATAGTTCATCGGCGCGAAGCGGCGGCGCACGGCGCGCTGCGCTTGCTCGCGCTCATCTTATATGGGCAGCCGCCTTTGTCCGCAATTGGCCTTTAGACGGCGAGTTTGTGTTGATCTAGTATACTTATAGATCTCGGCTATCGGTGATAATGTCGATGAAATCAGCGATGAAATTCGGCAGTTCAGTCAACGTTATGACTATGTTTTTACTACGGGTGGTGTTGGTCCTACACACGATGACAAGACATATATAGGTCCAATTTTCATATTTTTCTTACCGGCAGCAAAATTGCTATGTGTTAAAATTTAGGTTTGGCTAAAGCATTCAATGACAACATGCGAAAATCATCAGAGATCGTTGAAGCAATAGAAAATTATTTTCCCTCTGCAGGATTGTCGAAGGATCACTCGGTGTTTGTGGATAAATTGAGCACGGTAAGTTTGGAACTTCCTATTTTTGTCTAAATTGCCGCTAACCACTGCTTGGTAGATACCTGCTTCTGCTCAGTTACTTTGGGGGACACGTTCATCGGATGGGAAATCGTCTAACTTTCCAGTGGTTCGTCTCAGTAACGTCATCTCATTGCCGGGTGTGCCGAGGTTCTGTGAACGAGCGTTTGTGGAACTCAAGGTAGGCCTTGAATCTATCTCCTTGTCTTACTACATAGTGGTCGAATATCTTGTCAGTAGTCGTAAAATATGATATTCATGCATCTCTCTTAAAAAAGCTTCTGCTGTGCAATTATAAAAATGTATAGTAAAAGTTAATTAGCCTT